GTTAAAATGTAAAGGATTAGGTATTGTTAGGTTTCTATGCTACCTGCAAAACCTGAAATCCCTGTAGCTGTTAGGACAATACTGGAACTGCCCAGTAAATATTCCCACTGACTCCCTGGTTGTCTAATAACCTGGGACTCTGTGTAACTTGTCACGTAGTCATTTAGGCCCTAAAACCAATCAGTTTGAATGTGTACCCCACTTAGGAGTGACCAATCACCCCCGTCCAACCTGTTCCCGCCAATGAATGAACTAATCATGTTTAGGAGTTGTTGTTCAATTTTCCTGCACCTCATGATGATTTGTTCTGATGTATACAAAGCCCCCCCCTCCCCAAAAAGTGTACTTAAGCACTGCTTGACCTCTGCTCTGGGCTCTGGGCTGCCCTCCCTTCTTGAGCGAGCCTGCCCGGAGCCTCAGGGCTGAATTGGATCCTCAATAAACTCCCTCCTGCTTATTGCATGAAGCCAGTCTCTTGTGGTCTCTTCCTCCGACGCTTCGCTGGACCCTTACATCTTTCTTTCTTTTTTTCTTTCTTTCTTATGTCTGGGAATACCCTTCTTTCTTCCCTTGTCTTTATCTGTAGAATGCCTAAATTCTTTTTTTTTTTTTTTAAAGAGAGAGAGAGAGAGAGAATTTTTTTTAATATTTATTTTTTAGTTCTCGGTGGACACAACATCTTTGTATGTGGTGCTGAGGATCGAACCCAGGCCGCATGCATGCCAGGCGAGCATGCTACCACTTGAGCAACATCTGCACCCCAAAAATGCCTAAATTCCTTAAAGCTCATTTAAAAAAATATCTTTTATTTATTTATTTATTTTATGTGGTGCTGAGGATCAAACCCAGGGCCTCACACATGCTAGGTGAGCTCTCTACTGCTGAGCCACAACTCTAACCCCTAAAGCTCATTTTTAATATCACTTCTGTCATTAAGTGTTTTTGGGGACTGATGAACCCAGCCTAATCCATTTTAAGATTGAGAGCCATCGCATCACAAAGCCATAAAAAGTTAATTTCTGTTTTACTGTAAATTACTGAGATTTCTACACTTGTTTGGAAGTCCTGCCCATGCTCTGAACTCACCCATGTCTGGCTTTCCTTGACAAGATAACAACCCTCCTTGAAACTTCAGTGGCGCCTCATAAATTCTGATGTTGGGATCTGAATTTACTTCTATCTTGAAATATCACGCTATGTAGATCTTTAACCTGCTAGCTGTCTTTGTATTACACTTATCAAAATCCTGTTATCTGTAAGTTTTCAAGACACCCCCCCCTTTGCAACTTTTTGTGCAATAAAACCTTGTTCCTGTGTTATGCTCGAATTCAGGACCCCCAAAAGACCACCAGAGACCAAGATTGATGTAAGCAGCAAAGAGGCATTTATTGCAAGCTAGCTCGGTCCTCTGTGCACACAGCAACTGGTTACGCTGAGAAGCCCAGAGCCCAGGGTTTGCAGCAGTTTTATACACTCTCTGGGGAAAGCAGGGACTTCACCTACATCATAGCATCTCTCTTAACAAATCATCACACACAGCGGGAAAATCATAAAACAACTCTAAAACTTGATTAGCACATTCACTGGTGGGAGCAAGTTGGGTAGGGGTGATTGGTTAGTACAAAAGGAGGATTCATTTGAACTGATTGGTTTAAGCCAAGAGGGGTGTTCCGTGCTGAACTACATGGTTTCTCAACACGTTATCAACCACCATAAACTACTGGGAGGGTCATCTGACATCCTAGGTATTTCCCTGTCTCATGCTGATTGGTGGCTGCTAGGGGATTACTATGGGTCCCCACCTAGCCTGACCGAATCAGGGACACCTGGCTCTGCAGATGTCTCCCGTTATTTGTAGATAAACAACTCAGCAGGGTGGGTATGTGCCTAGGAGTGCTCTGTGGGTCTTTCCAAGGACAAGGGTCATGCCCGCTTCCTTGGATAGGCTTTGCTCTGAGGTAGAGTCTGGTTTCTCACCTGGAGAGCTGTGGTGCTGATCTCTAGCCCACCTTGGGGAAAGACAGTCCTTGGTGACCAGCTTTCTCTGTGTACACAATATAAGCTTGCTTATATTGTTATGCTCGAATTCAGGACCTCCAAAGACTACCAGAGACCCAAGATCCATGTAAGCAGCAAAGAGGTGTTTATTGCGAGCTAGCTCGGTCCTCCGCACGCACACACAGCAACTGGTGACCCTGAGAGGCCCCGAGCCCAGGGTTTGCAGCATTTTTATACATTCTTTGGAGAGGGCAGGGACTTCACATACATCATAGCATCTCTTAGCAAATCATCACACACCGCGGAAAATCAAATAACAACTCTAAAACATGATTAGCACATTCACTGGCGGGAACAAGTTGGGTAGGGGTGATTGGTCAGTACAAAAGGGGTATTCATTTGAACTGATTGGTTTAAGCCAAGAGGGGTGTACATGCTGAACTACATGGTTTCCCAATATGTTATCAACCACCATAAACTACTGGGAGGGTCATCTGGCATCCCAGGTATTTCCCTGACTTATGCTGATTGGTGGCTGCTATGGGTCCCCACCTAGCCTGACTGAGTCAGGGACACCTGGTGCAGCAGATCTGTTATTTGTAGATAAATAACTTAGCAGGGTGGAAATGTGCTTAGGAGTGCTCTGTGGGTTTTTCCAAGGACAAAGGCCATGTCCCTTCCTTGGACAGGCTTTGCTCTGAGATAGAGGCTGGTTTTTCAATATACTCCAATTTTGATTTAAAATTGGAGTTGGTGGTTGTGGGTCAACAGGACCTTAAACTGAATATGAGTCTTCCTTTGAACCTTTATAGAACTTTATACACACTTTTATTTCTATGATTACCAGATTTTGCTTTATGGCAATAAATTATGGTAATAATCTGTGTATTCCAGTGTTTCTCAAACTATTGCATTAGAAGTGCACAAAATTATATAGAAAAATGAACAGAGAGCCCCAAGGCTGTCACAGAAGCTGTCTAAAAAATTAAAATCTAGGGCTAGGGATATAGGTCTGTTGGTAGCATGCTTGCCTCCTTACCTCACATACAGGAGGCCCTGGGTTTGATCCCCAGGACCACCAAAAAAATAAATAAATAAATAAAATTTAATGTGAAAAAAATTAATGTGAATCGTGCAGCCTTATTAGGCCAATTTTTTTTAAATAACTTTAGTTGTAGATGGACACAATGCCTTTATTTTATTTATTTATAAAATAAAGATTGAATCCACTGCCTCACATGTGCTAGGTGAGCACCCTACCACTGAGCTACAATCCCAGTTCACATTTTTTTTTTTTTTTTTTGAAAGAGAGAGACAGAGAGACAGAGAAAGAGAGAGAGAGAGAGTTTTCTAATATTTACTTTTCAGTTTTCGGTGGACACAATGTCTTTATTTTATTTTATGTGGCGCTGAGGATCCAACCCAGTGCCCTGCGCGCATGACAGGTGAGCGCATTACGCTTGAGCCACATCCCCAGGCCCCACAAATTTTTTTTTTTTAAAGAGAGACAGAAAGAGAATTCTTTTTTTATGAGAGAGAGAGAGAGAGAGAGAGAGAGAGAGAGAGAGATTAAATTTTAATATTTATTTTTTAGTTTTCGGCGGACACAACATCTTTGTTTGTATGTGGTGCTGAGGATGGAACCTGGGCCGCAGGCATGCCAGGCGAGCACGCTACCGCCTGAGCCACATCCCCAGCCCATCCCACAAAATTTTTAATATATTTATTTTTCAGTTGTAGTTGGACACAAAACCTTTCTTTTATTCTATTTATTTTTATATCGTGCTGAGGATTGAACCCAGGGCCTCGCACACGCTAGGCGAGTGCTCTATCACTGAACTACAACCCCAGCCCCCAATTTTTGTTTTTAATATAAATATGGCACACTATTCAACGAACACTCCAGGAAGATATGTGTATTTATTAATCCCAGGGATCTGGGTTACAAAGCCCTTCCTTGCCACACCTCCACTAAAGTGTAATCTTGCTAGAAGGCACAGACTGCCCTATTGTTATATGCATCACCTGTAAAACCGATACAGTACCGTCCACAGATGTTATAGTATTACATACACAAACGTATATTTAATATATATAAAAGTGTATTATTCATTTATCTTTAAATATTTTTAGGTGTATATGGACACAACACAATGCCTTTATTTTTATGGGGTGCTGAGGATCCAACCTGGGTCCCGCCTGTGCGAGGTGAGCGCTCCACCGCTGAGCCACGATCCCAGCCCCAGTATAAAAGCATATTTAATATATACTTTTGTTTTGTTTTTTTGGTGCTGGGCCTTCCATCTGCGAGGCAAGAGCTCTGCCAATGAGACATGTCCAAGCCCTTTCTCATTTTTTATTTTGAGACAGGGTCTCCTCAAATTACCCAAGTGGGCCCCCGAATTGCAATCCTCATATTCGCCAGTGGAGTAGGAATTTTAGGCACCAGCCACCTTGTCCGGCGCTAAATGTTTAGTGTACCTAGAACTGTGCTCCCAGTTTCCAGGAGTTTAATCCCATGAGGTGGTCCTGACCGATTATGAAGCCTACCCAAATAGTGTTCTGAAAAACGACTCTGGTTGGGATTCAGGCTCTCCGTTCCACACAGTTAGTGACACATCGAAAACTGTTGAGTATCACTTTAAAGTCGACTCACTTTGATCTCGAAATTTCATTTCGGGAAATCGATAATTTCCTGTTAACCTTGTGTAGAGCTTAATTCTCTCCAATTAAGAATACGGTCTGAGGGTCTGCAGCCTGCTGAGCAGTGGGTGATTGGAGCTGAAGAAGTCTGAGCCCGCCCAAGAAGCAGCCCTCCCTCAGGTGCCCGGCAGGCTTCCAATTGGGTCTTGTGGCTCACTCTCTTTCCAGGTTGGTGTTCCGGCTTGCCCGTCGCCGCTATAGAACCCGCCTTTAGCCAGCAACGATTGGTAAATCGTTACGTCACTGCCCCATCTATCCCCTTCTGATTGGCTCTCATAGGAAGGGGCGGTGGCAACGTCACGGGCAAGAGCCGCCATTTTGACTGAGCAACCATAGTGACAGGAGCCGAAGCAGCAGCGCAGGTTGTCCCCGTTTCCCCTCCCCCTTCCCTTCTCCGGTTAACTACCCGGGTCCCCTACACTCCACAGTCCCGGTCCCGTCATGTCCCAGAAACTAGAAGAAGAGAACCCTGCGGAGGAGACCGGCGAGGAGAAGCAGGTGAAAAGGAGGGGGCGCGGGTGGGCGAGCCGGGGGCGACCGTGATGGGGCGGGAGACAGTCTTTTGCCAGTGCGGATTGGTCGTCATGGGCTCAGGCTCTGCAGGGGTTGGCCACATCTTGCGTCACGAAGGGTGAGTTTCAGTACCGGCTGGTGTTTTGGCTTTGGTTAGTTAGGTCCCTTGTCAGTCAGGGCCATACCCTTACTGATTGGCCAGTACTTCCTGGGCCCAAACCGTGGAAACTCTGCTGTAATTGGCCGAGCTTGAGCGTGGGGCGGGTGTTTGGAAAGGGGCTGGTGGTCCTGGATTGTGGTGTCTCTTTCGGTTATGGAGGCGGATGACCCAGCTGCTAGCCTGAGGCCCGCGTCCTCAATCCGCGAAAACATGCAGGTGGAGGCAAAGAAGTTGAAAAAGAACCCGCGCGGGGGGAGGGAAGTAATCCCTGCCGTGTCGAGTTCAAGTTGGCAACTTTCTCAGAGACCTGTGTTGGCGGTCGGGGATGGTCTGTCGTTCTCCTTCAGTGAGGACCACCAAGATTGGAGAGGACTAACGGGCGCCGTGGCGCACGCCTGTCATTCCAGCGACTCGGGAGGATCCACGCCGGTCTCAGCACCTTGGCGAGGCCCTAATCAGTTTAGCAAGACCCTGCCCCAAAATGAAAAATAAAAAGGACTGAGGATGTGGATGGTTAAGCGGCCCTGGGTTTAATTCAAGGAATAGGACTAGGTTAAACCTAGAAAAAACGCTAACAGAGTCTTGACAAGAAAAGACTGTTCCTCCAGATTTCCAAGGCAATGGGACTGGGCCACCTTGATGATTGTGTGATGAAAACACGAGCGCTGGGGTTTGTATTTTCACTTATGATATTTAGTGTTGGGCTCAAAGATTCATGAAATACACTTGGTGTTATAGCTAAGGGAAAATCCTCTAAAAAGAGCCACACATTGACTCCAGGTTCTTTTAAAAAAAAGTCAGTAAAGAGGAGCAGGGCACACAAAAGCAAGAAGATGACAACAGTGAGAGCCCCTGAAAGGCTTTTGGTCTCTCTGCATTCCCCAACTTCATCACTTGCCCCACTAAGATAGGCATTGTTTTCTTTTTCTTTCTTTTTTTTAATGAAAACTGACAAATAAGTACTAGTGAACCCACTGTTTCTTAATTTTCCTGAGGTTAAAAACTGTTTTCATCTGTAACTATGACCTTCCTACCACAATATTTGAAGAAATGTTGAAGCAATGCTGGGCCATTACTCAGGGGAAATCTTTGGAGAAAGCCACATAGCTAAGCCTCCTTCGTAGGGAGATTTACCAGATGGGTTTCTTTGACTCTAAATAAGGAGAGAACATCTCAGAAGACTTATCTCCTTTGATTTCCCATTGGGTCTGCAGGACAGCCTACGGAACCCTCCTACTTATCTTGTATCACCAAATGCTCCCTCCAGCTTTTTTCTCTTTGTCTTTCCTTTCTGTGCTGAGTGAGCTATGGCTCACTCTTATTCAAGTATTGTATTTATACATTACCTTTAACCCAGTACTCACAGGTCACTGGGTTGGTTTCTTGGATGTAGTGTGAGAAGTAGCTTGTCTTCTCACAATACAGTCATCTTAAGCTTTAGTGGTTTGAACAAAAGTCTAGCTTTAAGAGCAGAGTACAGATAGCTTGTTTATACCTGGGTGGATCTCCAGGAAAAGTTGATGGTAAATGGTTATCAGATATTGGAAGCAGTTGTTTCTTGATCTATAATTTTACTTCACTCATTTGTTTTCTTTAGGACACGCAAGAGAAAGAAGGTATTCTCCCTGAGAGAGCTGAGGAGGCAAAGCTAAAGGCCAAATATCCAAGTCTAGGACAAAAACCTGGAGGCTCTGACTTCCTCATGAAGAGACTTCAAAAAGGGGTACGGAGCACAATCTCTTAACCCTCTTTCTTTGGACCAAAAAGGAGTTCTACGGATGATGTCTACAGAGGTTCTATTGGTTGGGGGGCAATTGAGAAGATAGGAATTAGAAACTTCAAAAGAGAGCTACTGCAGTGACACACACCTATAATCGCAGTGACTCAGGAGGCTGAGGCAGAAGGATTGCAAGCTCGAGGCCAGCCTCAGCAACTTAGCGAGCCCCTGTCTCAAAATAAAAAATAAAGAGGGCTGGGAACGTGACTCATTGGTAAAGCACACATGGATAAAACCCCCAGTACCAGAAAGAAAAGAAACTTCAAAAGAGGAAAAAAAGTATATATTGTACATCCCTGATATAGTATCAGTACCCTTCTGGTCTCCCTCAATTAAGGCTTAAAGTAGTGACATTTGGGTATGTGGAAGAACAAGGGAATGAGGGAAGGATGCTCATAGAGACTGAAAATGCAGACTAGCCCAAGGCATTTGCATGTTTAAATGGTAGAGGTTTTAGGGCTGTGTTTTTTAGGGTTCAGAAATAAATTTGGGGGTATATTATTTCAGAGAAAGATCAAGCCATCTGTCATATAGAAATCAACTTGAAATGATTAGTCAGTTTGTTCATAGACCCTTAAAGTTAGCACCAGCCATCAACTATAATCCCTTAAGAAACTTATTTTTCCTGTTCCAAGTGGTCTTTCTCACAAAGGGAAAATCTACCTTCATAACCATCTAGCTCCTAACCAGATTTCTTAACCCATAGAGGTACCTTAAGCTGCTGAGGAATTATAAGACATTATACGAGAGTGTGCTTCTCTGGATGACATGGAAAGCGAAACACATCCCTGTGGAGAATCCCAATTATTGAGTCTTAGTCACAGATGATAATGTGATGCTGATTTGCGGTTTACCTCAGTGTAGGCATGACAGGCGTAGGCAGGCTGTCGCAGCCATGGAACATGTGTGGGAGTGGGGAGTGGTGGAAATCAGAGATAAAACACATTATCCTCACCAGCAAGCCCAGTTTCTAATCCTGGTTTACGAGAATAATTTTTATCTTGAGGTTGATCTACTGCTAATTACTGAGACCAACCCAGATTGACCCCTTTATTCATCTTATTCATTTCTTTTTAGCACCACATTATTGCTTTGCACTTAGTAAAGTCCTCAGTCAGCCTTTATGAATGAAGAAAGTTATTTGGGTTAAACCATCCTGTACTAAGTAAGGTTCAAAGGATGTAGGACTGTCCCTCAGCTCTAAAAATGCATATTCTTGCTGGGAACCTGCTTATATACCTGAAAAAGAACATACTGGGGAGAAGACATAGGCACATGTTGTTGTTTTTTGTTTTTTTTTTTAGTTGTAGTTGGATACAATACCTTTATTTATTTTTTATGAGGTGCTGAGGATCAAATTCAGGGCCTCACATGTGCTAGGCAAGTGCTCTACCACAACCCCAGCCCTGTACATGTTATTAATATTAAACTGTGTATACATGAGAAATTTAAGAAATCTGAGTGTGGATGGGAGTTTATAATGGATGGAAGATGTGAATCTTCTTGCTTTTGAGAAATGCCAGAACTCCTTACTCACCTAAACCTTCCTCTTGTTTCTTAGCAAAAGTACTTTGACTCAGGAGACTACAACATGGCCAAAGCCAAGATGAAGAATAAGCAGCTGCCGAGTGCAGGACCAGACAAGAACCTGGTGACTGGTGACCACATCCCCACCCCACAGGATCTGCCCCAGAGAAAGTCCTCACTCGTCACCAGCAAGCTTGCGGGGTAACCTGGGACCCCTTTCCTCCCCTTCCTCACCCTCTGGACTCTTATATATTGTAGGCAGGGATGGAATGGGCACATAGTCACATCTTCTCAGCGTGCTAGCTAGGAAGGACTTGAGATTCTGCTGGGGGATACTGAGAAGGTAATGTAGGTTGAAGAGGGGCTCTGAGTTTGTTTCTTAGTGGCTGAGACTTCCATACCCTCACTGTAGCCCAGGTAGGTGCCCAGAAATAGGAAAGACTAGGATTGGATAATGCTGCATACTTTGTCTTTTGTGAGAAACTGGAAAGAGATGATTTCTCCTTTTTAAAAGAGAATGTCTCCAGATTGGGAATAATGTGGCAGGTTTAACATCCTAAGACTAACCTGACATAGTTGGGAAAGGTAGATTGAGACATGTTTTCTGTGCTTCTAAGTGTTTTGTCCCGTTAGGCTGCTATTGCTTCATGTTTTCATTATGGGAGGTTTAGAGAACCCGCAAAAAGGAAAACCGATTTGCTTGCCTAAGACTATAGTGCCCACTTAACCTCCTTTATTTAGTATCTCTTACAGTTTGTCCTGGCTTGCAAATGATGTAAACTTTGATGAACATTTCTGATGGAAAATGGGCACCTACTCTCTCTCTTCCAGAATGTTACTTTTGAAAGTTTTGTTGAATAGTGGATCTAAGAGCACTGATTCAGGAGTTAAGAGATGTTTGGATTCTAGTTCGACTCAGTGTTGGCAGACTGTTGTATAACTTGGTAACGTTATTCAGCCTCTCAGCATTTCTGTTTCCTCATCTGTAAAATAGTTAAATATGTATAAGACTGATTTGATCCTAAAATTCTGTATCTGCCAGCAGAAAAACTTTGTGCTAGTTCATCATAAAACCAAAAGTGAGAAAGGCCCATGGGTGAACCTCTGCTTTGTATTACTGGGAAAATACTACAGAGGGGAATTAACTATTCAGGGCTACATGAAAAGGAAGTTTGAGATTTGAGGGCTTTATTCAGGCAACAGAAACTTACAGGTATTATGGTTTTGAGGGTCAAGAAAAAAACATAAGACGCTAGCCAGCGAAGATTTTTACCTCTATTCCACCCACTTTCCCTGCCTACTCTGGGTCTTAGCTGCTAAAAAGCTGCTCTGGCAGAGTTGGAGGGCCTGAAGAAACATGCTCAGTCAAGCCCATTTGAAAACCCATGTTTTTAGATGTAATTAGTTGCCAGGTGCATTATTAGGGAGAGAGAAAGAAGGGATAAACTGAGCTAGCCCCTCCCCCAGAACTCAGTTCTACTGCAGGACTGGGGCAACAGCTTCTTAGGAGTTCGTTCACCCAGGAAGCTGGGAAAATCTGCCTTTCTAGAGCTCAGTAACCCAGCTTTTGTGTGATAAGGAGAGGTAGCAGTACTGATTCAGGAACAGGTGTAAGGTGCATGGTGACAGCATGTTCAATCTGGTTATTAACAGCTTGGCCTGAATCTTACTGAATGCAACCTGCTAGTTATGACAAAGAGGGTCAGGCTGAGAACCAACTGTTCAAGAAAGCAGGATTCTGTAATCCTTTCTTGCCCCTTCACCTCACAAGTTCGAATATGTCAGACATTTGGCCTGTTGAGAATAACTGTGAACTTGCTGGTGTACAGGGGGGATGAGCTGGGTGTATACTACTCTCCTGACTGGCTGTTTTCTGGCTGTTATTCAGATTGGATAGGAAAAGAGGCTGGTGAGGAAGGAATGGAGAGAGCAGGATCCCTGAATTCCCTGGATCCCAAACTCCTTGACTGTCACTTGTAATTGTATATAATTTTTTTGTGTTTCTTGCTTCATTTCCTCATGCTGTCATTCTTTAAATCTAAAGTCCATGTGGGAAGGGGAAAATGCCAAACATCATTGTATAGTTTCCTCAACTGTCCCAGCCATGTTGTACATAGATATGTCATGTTATTATATATATAAATATATATATAATTTTGTACGTTTTCTTCATCTCCGATCTTCTCGAATTCTGTACTTTTTTCTTTTCTGTCTGAGCTGCTTTCTCTATTGGTCAGTTTGAGTCTTCAAGACTGATGTTCACAGTGAGTCTGGATTTAAGGAAAGAATAGAAGGAATAGGGAAATCAAACAAACTTTTAGTCTTACACTCTCACTACCAGATCATCTTCAAGGTTAAGAAACTAAAAAGCTACATTTCTGTATGTGCCACCTGTTTACATAGTATGAAGTACACAGCTTCCTTAGCAAGAATGGGTCATCTCACGATCCAAATACAAATTGCTTTGGTCAAACCTAGATTATTAAATACACTCAAAACAACATGTGCCTGGTCTGACCCTGGCCTCCACACAGTCACCACCTCTTCACTGTGCTGCCTCAGGCTTCACTGCAGCTGAGTGACTGTGGCCATGCCTCTGAAACCAAACCTGCTCTGAGCCTGGCAGTTACTCCCCTGGAAACCAGTTATTTTGCTCTTGTCCAAAGAATTGTTTTTCTGTGTTTTCCATGGGTTCCTCCAAAACGTCAGGAAACATTCTATTTGTGGATAGGAATTATTTTTTAATTTTTGCAGTTCCCTTAAGGATAAGATTGAGGCATATACCAGGTAGCCTAATGATTAAGTGTGGAAGAATCATGGGATAGATAGAGACTGGGATGGAATTCAAGGTTTTTCCCCTATTACTTGACAGTGTTTTGTTTTGTTTTGTTTTTTTCCTTCTGTGTTCGTCCACAGTGGCCAAGTTGAATGATGCTGCCTGGGGCTCCGCCAGATCCTGAGACGCTGCCCTCCTGGGTCCTGTGCTGGCTCCTGCCCCTCCCTGCTTTTGCAGCCAGGGGTCAGGAGGTGGCTTGGGCGCGGGCTGGAGAGGCAGAAGCCCCTGCCCATTGGTGTCCCAGCACATGGAGCCCCTTGGGCTGAGCACCAAGACCTTGAACCTTTTTTGTTTTACCTTTTTTTCCAAATAACTGTTGAGAAATCTCAATGAAATCTCATGGGTGGGGTTGAGAGGGTGGGTGGGAGATTTGGGATTTAGAGTTGATAAAAACATTCCTGACAATCCTCCCTCTTAACCCAGTGGCTAATGTGGGGAGATGTGAGGGGGAGGAAGTGGAGTAGACTAATAAGGGGTTCTAATTCAGCTCTGTAGACAAATGCCTAGTGTGGATAAAGAGGCTGTTGATGTACACAGAGCAGATAGGCCCTCTGGTTCTGCAGAGCAAGACTCAATGTTAATTGTCATTTAAAAAAAAAAAAGTGCTTTCCTTGAAATAGATTTGCTATGGAGAGAAGGGTAGTGAATGTTGGGGAAAGGAGCCATGAGTGTGGGGAGCCCCACTGAGCCCAGGGGACTTTTTCAGTATTTGAAATAAAAAACAACAAAAAAAGACCCATGAAAAAACCTAACCCAGAAATACTCTGAAGCAGTTGGTGTGTTTATTGGGGTTTGGGAAGGGGAAGAAAACCAGTGTGAAAACACTGTTCAGGGGAAAAGCTGGTGGTGTCCCTGAGTTTCTAAGGAACACAGAGACCTTTAATATGGGATATGGCTGGGCTGCCTGTTTCCATCATGTAGGAAAAGGGAGCATTCCTTTGGCATACAGACTTTTCTTAACCCCTATACATTTCTTAAGATGCATCAAACTCAGGTCATGGCTCACAAAGTGAGGGATGTAAGGTATTTGATCCAAATGGCTTGTTGACATAAAGCTTTGTCTAGACTCAGCAAAAAAGGAAGCCTATTCTTCCTTTTCGCTTTCAACTATCTTTTCCTTTGCAAGTTCCCATGCCTGTGAAGAAGAAATGTGTACTATTAGTAATAAACCAAAAGAAATTAAGTCTTTCTGCTTGTGGTCAGCAGAAGGCAGAGTGACTTCTTTCATCATGACGTGCCAACCTGCATTTCTGGAATCCTGCCACTGAAAGAAGTTAAAAGCTGCTTGTGAATGAAAGGTACTAAAGAAACATTAGCAAGGGAGAAACAACTCAGCTGCCCCTCCCTTCCACCATGCATCCCGTAGATACAAGTAGATAGAAACCACTGGCCCATTTAGCCCTCCTTTGATTAGGAGTTGATCATGTTTTTTTGGCCAAATGTGATTAGCTTTTGTACTGTTTATGCTGTGTGAGATAAACAAGGTCTGGGAGACAGATATTCCAGAGAAATCCCCATTGTGTTAAGGGATGGGGAGCATCTTGGAAACTGACAAAGGAATCTTGCTTTCAGCATCTGGCTGTTCCTACCTGCCCCCCAACCCCTGCCTTATTTTTTTTTTTTTTCCCCTTAATCAGAAGCTTTCCAAATAAATTTTCAACTACTTGGGATGTTTCTGGCTTGCTCTCTCCTGATTTAGCCAGGGGATTGTGGTATATCCTGACCATATGTCTGTCAATTATTTATTTAATTAATTTTTGTGGTATTGGGGATTGATCCCAAGGCTGCATGCAAGTCAAGCATTCTACTACTAAGTTGTATTCCCAGCCCTTAATTTTTTTGAGACGGGATCTTGTCTCACCAAATTGCCAAGGCTGGACTTTAACTTTCAATCCTGCTACCTCAGCTTCCTGAGTAGCTAGGATTGTAGGATGCCTGGTCACATCTGCCTTTAGGAGCAGCAGGCTAGTCCTTAAGTGAGCAAGGTGGTATGCAGGTATATTAATCTTTTATTTTTTGGTACTGGGGATTGAACCAAGGGCCCCTTTACCTCTTAGCTATATCTCCAGCCCTTTTTACTTTTGAGACAGGGTTTCGCTAAGTTGTGTAGGGCTCTTCTTGAACTTGGTGTCCTCCTGCCTCAGTTTTCTGAGTTGCTGGGATTACAGGTATGTGCCCTTCCTTGTTCCCAGTGGCATGAAGCACTCTCTCTCATTGTGAAGTTTATTGTCTAAAATGAAAGAAAATGATATGTGAAAAAGTTGTTTTAACAGTTATAAACAAGTCTTAAAAAGCTATATATTCTAGGGATGCAAATTAATTTATTGCTTATCATGGTGGATTGGTGAATGTTCTCAATCCCATGACTTCTTTCTGAGTACATAATCCCTGGTGTAAGTTTGCCAAGTGGATAGGCTGGAGGATGAGGTCAGAGAAGCTGAATGTGGGATCATTTAGATAGTGAAATTTCATTTTAATACAGGTGAGGAAGTTGAGGTATAAAAATAAGTTACTTGGTGGGACTGGGGTTGTGGCTCAGTGGTAGAGCGCTTGCCTAGCATGTGTGAGCACTGGGTTCAATCCTCAGCACCACATAAAAATAAATTAAAAACATAAAGTCATTGTGTCCATTTAAAAAAATAATAAGTTACTTGGGCTGGGGTTGTGGCTTGGTGGTAGAGCACTTGCTAGTATATGTGAGGCACTGTGTTTGATTCTTAGCACTTCATGTAAATTAAAAGTCCATCAATAACTAAAAAAAAAATTTTTTTAATAAGTTATTTGTAGGGCTGAGGATGCTCAGTTGATAGAGTGCTTGCCTCACATGCACAAGGCTCTGGGTTCAACCCCCAGCACCACCAAAAAAAAAAAAAGTTACTTGTAAAGTGGCAAGGCAAGTTAGCTGAAGAGCCTGAGTTAGTATCTAGGTTTTTATATTATTTGGGTTTCCTTGTCCTTAATTTTAAGCTGTAGCTTTGGTAATCTTGAGTACCAAGAAATGTTTGTGGCTACCTATATTTCTGTTTGAAACTTGACATTTATTTTCCTTTACTCCCATATTACATACTCTCATACTCTGAAGAGCTAGGCAGCCAGGGAAAATGAATTCTGCAGTGCTTCAGATAATTATTCCTACTTGATATGTTAGCTAGGCATTTTCCAAAATCTATCATAGAGTTAAGCCAAAGACTCTTCTGCTCCAGCATGGTTGGGTGGTGATCATGCTGACAAGCTCTTGGCTGAGCCATCTTTATGGCAGCAGGAATGGAGTCACCATGATTGTCCAGCAGCATATGAAGCTAGTGTAGCCTGGGCATAGAAAAGGCAGACAAAAGAAAAATAGCTCTTCTCTGTACATGTATTGGGATCTGTTCTACCCTAGAGATAAAAGGACAATATTGGCATAGTTCCGAAACTAAGGGAAGGAGAGTCAGGAAATGAGTTGTCAGCTGGATGTTATTAGAGATGGATGACTTATTAGTAAAGATAATGTAAAACTTCCTATGCTTGTGAATATTTTAATTTACAAATAATTGTTGACTACTCACTTTTGGATTGAAAATGTTAGCTGTTGTTGAGTAGATAAACAAAGTAAGAGATGCTGTCTACCCTACAAGAGCATGTATAGCGCAAGATAGTGTATGATTAATCAGGCAGTAGAATTCTGAGAAGGGAAAAATCCATCTGGACTTCTAGGTAAATATTAGTGAAGGAAATAGAAATTGAACTGGGCCTTGAAAGGTAGGTAGTATTTAAATAATACAGTAATCATTTAGTAAGTGCCCACAATATGTGAGGCACTAAAATGCAAGGTGAGTGATATAGATTAGCTTTTTTTTTTTTTTTTGGTACTGGGGAGATTGAACTCAGGGACACTCAACCACTGAGCCAAATCCCCAGCCATATTTTGTATCTTATTTAGAGACAGGGTCTCACTGAGTTGCTTAGCTTCTTGCAGTTGCGGAGGCTGGCTTTGTAGATGCTTCTTTCAAGAAGATTGTACTCTAGTGGGAAACACACAAGTGAACAAACAATCTCTTATTACAGTGTTAAACTTGCAGCAGTGGAGGTGCAACTATGTAGAGGAATAGGGTTGTGTAATTAATAATAATTTTTAATGTAAGCATTCTTACTATTTCCATTATACAAAAGAGAAAGCTAAGACAAAAAAATTCCCTTTAAAAGGAGAAAAGAGGAGGCTGGGGTGTGGCTTAATGGTAGAGTACTTGCCTCATATGCATGGGGCACTGGGTTTGATCCCCAGCACCACAGAGAGAGAGAAAAAAATTAAATTAACACAGCTGTTGTGTCCATCTACAACTAAAAAAAAAATTAGGAAAAAAATAAAGGAAACGGGCTGGGGCTGTAACTTAGCAGCAGAGCACTTGCCTAGCTGGCATGAGGCACCGGGTTCAATCCTCAGCACCACATAAAAATAAACAAATAAAATAAAGGCATTCTGTCTATCAACAACTACAAAAAAAAAAAAAAATAAAAATAAAAAAGGAGAAAAGAGAAGAAAAAACAGAGGCAAAATTATTTTTCCCAAGCCCAAGTCATACAGGTTCTTTTTTCTTTCCTTTTTTTTTTGGTACCAGGGATTGTATCCCAAGTGTACTTACTTAACAACTGAGCCACATCCCAAGCTCTTGTTACTTTTTTGAGACAAAGTCTAGCTAAATTACTGAGTCTGGCTTTGAACTCCTGATCGATCCTCTTGCCTCTGCCTCCCAAGTCACTGGGATTATAGACATGTGCCACCATGCCTGGCAGAGATTATCCATTTGATTTAACCTTTTTGAGACCAATTTTAATAGACTGGTTGAGATGGAATCTGGCTTGTAGAAATGAGTGATGTGGGAAGGTATTTTTTGTTTTAGAATGAAAATAAGTTAGGAATATTTGTTGGCTGAGCAAAAAGAATAAATAAAAGTTGAAATTCAAACAGAATGGTAATAAACAAAAAGCAGGGTTCTTAAAGATAAAGGAGAACATGCAGGGGCTGGAGTTGTAGCTCTGGGTTAGAGTGCTTGCCTCGTATGTGTGAGGCACAAGTTCGATTCCCAGCACCACATCTAAATAAGCAAATAAAATAAAGGTCCATCAACAACTAAAAAAAAATTAAAAAAACAAAAAAAGGAGAACATGCAGTAAGAGCACAGTAGATGTGGTTCAATTACACAATAGTCCAGTTCAGCAAGCATTTGTTGAGCATACTGTGTGCCAACCTCCATATTAGTGTTAGACTGGTTGGGAAGCCAACTCAGTAAGCAATTAGTCTCAAGTAGGAGGATGTATACTTCATCCTGCTTGAGATTGAAGGTGAAAACAGAACATGGATAAATTCCCAGATGTTTGTGATTGGGGGTAAGTAATCAAAGGGAGTCCTTGTCTGACAATTTTCTTTGTAAAGTAGGATGTTGAGTTTTTGGTTGGGAATTAGGCAGGGAGCTTAAGAATAATAGCCAAGCTGCTCTCCCTCTGGAGATGGCCAGCATTCTCTCTTGAATATGTATTTTTTACTTTGCCCCAAAAGCTTATCATTCTCAAGATGGCCAGTATTTTCCCTCGAATGCTGTGATTGTGTATTTACCCCAAAAGATGAATCTCCCTTTAGATAGCCTACACTCTCCCTTGATTATGTATCTGCTTTCCTAAATAAATTTATGTCTTAAAAAAAAAGGAGAGAGAGCTTGGAGATGTAGCTCAGTGGTAGAGAGCTGGCTTAGCAAGCAAAGGCTCTGAGATCAAGCCCCCACACCACAAGAA